GAAGAAATGCAGCCCTATTGATATCTTGAGTTTGGTCCAGTGAGACTCATTTTAGACTTCTGACATTTGGAACTGTAATATAATGCCTTCATGTTATTCTTATTGTTGTTGTAACAAATAACCACAAACACAGTTCTACTAATTTCCTCCTCAAGGTAGCTTCTCAATTTTGCCAATACTGGTTACCAAACATACTTAAAGTTTGATTTTGAGTCTCTGACAACTCACATCCCTCTTAATCTGCTTTACTTTTTTCTTGACTTTGTATAGTGCTTATGTTCTGATACACTTTGTAATTTACTTATTGATGATGTTTATCATGGGCAGGGATTCTCAACTGTTTTGATATTTATTGATATATCTTAAACATTGAAAACACTGGCATGTAGTAGATGCTCAATAAGTAATTGTTGACTCAATCAACAAAATGTACTAGAGCATACAAGATTTTCCCAATGTAACATAACTAGCAAGTGGCTGAACCAGGATTTGAACTCAAAATTCATTCCCTGAACCTTCTTCTAGCGGCCACATTGAGGAAGCAATTACCAGGGCTGTGTTCTCAACACAAGTATTCTCCTAACCACAGAATTAAAGGCTGGTGGCCCATGTATCAGTGTCTGTATTTATGAGCCCCTCTTTCAATCTCTTTCTTTTCATATTGTGTTGATACTGTAGCCTCTATTAGTCATTTTATTTTTTCGTTTCCCAAGACAGAATTATGTGGCTTTATCTTTAATGCTGCATTATCAATACTTACAATACATAATATTATGTATTACTCAATATTCATGATTATTAGTGTTACTATTGGTTATTTAATAATGTTTAACTTACATTAGCAGTTGTTACTATTTTTATGATGCTAAATTACTAACAGCTAAAACAACTTCTATATTAAAAAGTATATTTGAGTGTCACTCAAGAGATAATGAGTACCTTACAAAGAAGAAATCTTGTTTCTTACCTTTGCGTCATTAAACAGATCAGGATTTGGAGAATTAAGCCCTAAGTAATCATGTTATTATTTTGATTTCGCCCCTTTTTTCCTTACAAAATGGAATATTTTGGTTATCAGAAGCCACTTTAAGCATTTATATATATATGTCATAATCCGAATAAAAATAGCATTCATGGAGGTTTCTTTCGGAGCTCTTGGTAAAACACTCCATCGTGGGTCTCTGTCAAGATATCTGAAAACTTTTTCTTGGCTTCTGACTTTGAACAAAGTTTCAGAGTAACAACAAGGCTTCATTGTGCACTGAAATTTCTGTAAGGCAACATTCATTCAAGTGTTGATCCGCATTTCACCATCCAAGAATAACAACAGTTATTTATATAATTTTATCCATGTTTCTGTTTTTTCCTATCCATTTCACCCTTTCACCCCACCCCTGCTGAAACACTGGAGCTTGTTTGGGATGGGGGTGGGGTGCCATGCAGACTATATACACATACAGATGTTTTTCTTTTTCTTTTCCTGGTCTTGCTATGGGATAGACAGATCGGACTTTTTCTTATTAACAATATTATTTAAAGGTTTGGAATTTATTATCATTTAATCATTTGTAAGTAATGAAGTAGGTCTCCATGATAAGGATATGTTTATTGACCAGCGGTTAGCTTTATTCAAATTAGGGTGACCACAGAAGACCAAGGACTATGATATAACGTACAACCCTAAGTGGTTTGATTTAAATAAAAAGGAAGTCCAGGCATTTCAGCTAAAATCCCCACCAAAGGCCAACAACTAGATGGGCATCCATATGACTCACTGAAATTTTCTATGATCTTCAATGGCCATCTGAGTCCGTGAAACTATAGGACTAACTATTCAATCCTTATTGAGAAAACTTTGTTAATAGCTTGAATTGAGTTATATGGGATATGAATGTTCATATCTTTGTGATAATATATGCCACCCAAGCTACATAACCAGTTATGTTAGCTAAAATACACTAAAGTGTAAAAAATCATAGTTTTC